GCTGTCCCCTGTCGCCCTAACCCTGTTACTGTATAGGAATATTTGCTACAATGCCTAGACAACTCTATATCTTTCTGTCTGTCTAAACATAGCAGCAATGCTGAATGTTTTTCTGCACGTCTGAATAGATGACCTTAAATAGGAGATTGCCCATTTGAAATCAAGTCATTTTAGATTTTTGTTACTTTAATTTCATATCTCTTTGATCACAGTTTGCTCAAGTAAGCATGCAGCTGAAAAATTATACAAATGCTATTTAACTATGAGCTGCACGACATCAGGTACTTTTTAAGTTCCATGACAGAGAGACAATGTGAAAATGCTGATCTGAATCTGCACAGGGATCTCTTCTGCTACAAACCACTACCATCAAACAAGGTCTACAACTTCCCCACTGTGTCTCCAAAAGCAATGAGCCTCATTTTGGAATATGCCTACACCCAATCTGTTGTGGTGACGGAGGACAATGTACTGGAGCTGTTGGCGGAAGCAGACCACTTTATCGTGACTGGCGTCATTCAAGCCTGCTGCGACTTCCTGGAGAGGAAGCTTTGTGTAAATAACTGCGTCAGTATCTACAATCTGGCACACTTACACAACTGTCCTGACCTCAGGGGAAAGGCCTTTCTCTACATCCTCCATCACTTTGAAGAGGTTGGTGCACTCTCCTTGGAGTTCCTTCAGCTCTCTGTGCAGCAACTATCAGATCTTATCGAGAATGATGAGCTCAATGTGAAGCAGGAGAGCACTGTGTTTGAGGCCATTCTCAGATGGATCAACTATTCCCCTGTGGAACGTGGGTGTGACATGCCCGCACTGCTCAAGCAGGTAACTGAAAATGGGATATCAATTTAATTGCACCTCTAAGTGCATTTATTTTGTTTATTACTCAGTGAGGGGCTGTTGAATGAATGGTACAGTTTGAAAGTATAGAAAGCAACTTCCGCTGTAGCAATTTGAATCAGGAATAAAAAATAAAACATAAGCTTGATGCCTGATGCAAAAAAAAAAAAAGAAGTTTGATTGTACACTATTGTGTTTACAGAGTTGGGTGTCCAGGCCGCCCACCTGCTCGCCCATCAGCCTTTTATGGCTGACGTGTAAAAAGCTAAAATTGCAATGGCAGAATTACTCAAACTTAAGGCTTGGTAATAGAGTTAATGTAGGGGAATCATTCTTCTTCATTCTTAATCACATTGGGGGGGGTGTTTCTAATTCACTTGGGAGTGTGCATCAGAAGGTGCTCATCATTTAGTCCTTAATAAATTGTAAAAGTATTATTTACACTTGCGTCCAGATAAAACTGGCCGTTGTTTTGTACTTTCAGAAGTGCATTATTGATAATGTGTCTGAACTGCACTTTAGCTTTTCTGACAGAAAAGTTGACTATGCCCATCGTGTTCTGCCAGAACTTACTGACTGGACCTTAGGCATTTACAACAGGACACACCCTCATTGTGGGACCTGTTTCTACAGCAGGAGGTTACTCAGTGCTCAGATAATGGCATTGAAACTTGACTGTGGCACCACTGCTTGTTTGGAGGTAATGCCATGACCTGCCATTGCTGTTTGGCAGGTGATGTTGTGGCTCTTTACAGGTAATGTTAGGGTCTTTAAGGGCAATGCCACAGCTGATTGGAGGCGATGCCAGGAGCTACCATAGCTATCTGGGTGATTCCATGACATTTTGATTATAGGGATAGTGCTATACTTCACTAATGGGTGGTGGCATGGTGGCTACATCCAACTCTTATATACAGTCTAATGTTGTATTTCTTGCCTTTTCCCCTTATGATTCTTGTTTTCATCCAGGTCCGCCTACTATTAATACCCACTGAGTACTTGGTTGGCACTGTGAGCAGAAATGATGTGGTGAGTAGTAGTCCGGCATGCATGGATATGGTAACCACTGCCATGAAGATGCTAAATGAGTCCATTGTGGAGAGACCTATGCCCCAAACACGCCTGCCGTCTGAAGTCTTATTGGCCGTTGGTGGATGGGTGAGTCATTTCCCAAGTGTCAAGATTGAGTTGTACAATGTCCGAGCTGACCACTGGGTGCCGCTGAGCTGGACACGGTATGCTTCTCTGGGATTCTACGGTTGTGCTTACCTCAATGGATGTGTCTATTGCATCGGAGGTTTTGATTTCATAAGCTATTCAAATCATGTGAGAAGGTTCAGCCTCACCAACCAAACCTGGACAGAGGTGGGGCCGATGCATGAAGAGCGGGGCTTTCTCAGTGTGGCCACACTGAATGGCTGCATATATGCTATGGGCGGGTGCCAAAACCAAAAGAAACTGAAAACTGCAGAACGATATGAGCCTGACACCAACCAGTGGACTATGATTGCATCGATGCACAAGCGCAGGGCAGAAGCTGGTGCTGCAACACTACACGGCAAGGTAAGTGGAATTGAGGTAGTGGAAGATCTCTGCCATGTTGGTTTTGTGGAGAAAGTGGTGGACAAAGTTAACTGGTAATGCTAACAACCTTGGTTAACAAGCTGCGTCAATAAAATGTACAGTCACATAATTCCATTAGAAATGCACCTGCCACTGCCTTAATCTGTCAGTACACGTCCCAAAGCAGTCACAAACCCAAATTGTAGCCAGGACACTATCCATATGGATTAGGTTTTTTTTGGCCTTTTGTGTCTGGCTGTAAAAATGATTTTTAAGGCTATGTAGTTGGATTTACAACATATGGGGATTTATTATCTTTTGGAGCCAGCCAACCAACGCATTTATGCACTGGAACATGAGCGCACAGTAAAATATTACTTTTCTGTGAGTTTCTGTGCAAAAAACATTTTTTAATAGTCTTATAAAGCTGGCCAATGGGAGTAATTTTTAAAAAGTGAATTTATTTATTTATTTTTTTTAGATTTATGTCATGAGTATTGAGAAAGACATTCTTTCCTTGGTTGGTACTTTTTTTTCTTGCAAACTTATAACAATCCTGCAAAGGATTGTTTTGGTTTTTTTTGGTTCGGTTGGGATCTCTTTGTTAATTTAATCTCAGTAAACATATGTTTTTTTAAAAAGAATATTATGGCTTGGCAATTTCTTTATTCCTGTTTTATTTGTTTTGCTTAACATGGCACTGATTTGCAAATGTACTTTTCAGCTTGAGGGCTTAATCATCACTGGACCTTTCTGTGGAAAATATGAATAGTTTATGAATTGTATCAGTTTTATAATATTTTATTTTTAAGCTAAATATTTCTATTACCATTAATCCAACAGCTCAGGGAGAAGGTTATGGTTACTTCATCCTCACATCGTGAAAAATAGCAATTTTATAATTTCTGCATCCATATTTTTTAAGTCTGCAAAATACAGAAAATAAATGCAGCAAACCTCTGCTAAAACTAAATGTTTTAGGATAACACCATCATTTTTAGATTTTTACTACTATTATGCAAAGTAGCTACACAGAAATCTGATGAAAACATTTTTAGTTTTTCACAAGCGCATGGCACAACATCGAAGAGCCACCTCCACGGGACAAGACTCAGCAGTCCATCTGCATCTAAAGGACAAAGGTCACTCTTTCGAGGATGCCAATGTTCACATTATGGACAGGGAGGACAGATTGTTTGAAAGAGGAGTGAAAGAAGCCATTTATGACCACTGTGAGCGACCATCTTTGAACAGAGGCGGTGGCTTACGACACCAGCTGTCTGCCATCTATAATCCAGTTTTGAGTTCCCTTCCCAGACGTCTTAACGCCCACTCACATCCTGGGCCATCTGACCTCAGGAATTCGCTTGATAAGGTGGGGCCAGGTTTCACAATGAGCTCACCTGAAACCCTGGCTGATTGTGACCCACACCTTGGCTCATGTAATTAGGTAGAGGATCATCAGGGGGTCCTTTGTCCCTCTTGGGGGGAAACTCCCACAGGGCTTAAATCTGGGACTCTCCACCATTTGACTCTTAGATCTGAAGAAGCTTCTCGGATGAGAGGTGAAAAGTCTTCAAGCAACTTAAAGAAGTCCAGATGCTTTTCTTTCCAAGCTCCTTAGAATACGATGACCTGGATGACTGAGAACCTTCACAGACATTTTTAGTGTTTGTAAGTTTTTTCTGGAAGCTGAAACATTTAATTCTAGTAAGGCAAGGCAAGGCAAGGCAAATTTATTTGTATAGCACAATTCAACAACAAGGTGATTCAAAGTGCTTTACAGAGACATTAGAAACAAAAACAGATAAAAGGCATGATTTAAAATTGATTAAAACAAGCAAGCAAACAAACTAACTAGTAATTTTGACTTAAACTTGATTTTAATTTCTAGGTGTACATTTGTGGTGGTCTTACTGAAGATGAACCTCTGTCATGTGCTGAGTCCTACAACCCTGACACCAACCAGTGGACACTGATCACACCCATGGAAACCGGGAGGACTGGGGGAGCCGTGGTCGCCTACAATAACGAAATCTTTGTAGTAAGAAGAGCTTAAAACATACTCTTATTACGGACAGAAATTCAAACATGGAATGTTTACTGTACCTGTATTTGGGAGTCTGTATTATTTTCCAAGTACCATGTACTGGGTTATTGGAATGTGATTTCTATAATTACCCTAGAATCAGATATTTTGGAATCTGGAGACCTATTTACTTTTTTACAACAGAACATTTTTACGTTACAGACTGTAACAAGTCCTTTGTCTGCACAGGTTGGTGGCTTTAACGGTATCACTCAGTTGCGTAGTGTCATCGCATATGACCCAAGAACAAGCCGCTGGCGCAACGTTGCTCCCATGTTACACCCTCGTAAAAACTTCGGCATTGCAGTGCTGGAGGACCAGCTGTATGTGGTTGGAGGTTTCTACAATGGCGGCTTATTCTGCAATCTGGAGTGCTATGATGAAAAGACCAACAGGTGGTACATTGTCAGCGACAAAGGGATGACCCAAGGTGCTGTCAGTTGTTGCGTTCTGAAGCGACACCCCGATCTGACTGCTTATCTTCCATAATTATTTCACATAAAGAAATACATTTTTCATCAATAAAAAACTGGCTGTTTCTCTGCTTAAGATCCTGAGGTCTGACATCCCAGTGAAAAAGTCTCTTTTAGCTGAACAGAGAACTTGAACTTTCTTTTCAACATGATGGGCATTGCAGCTTCCACATTTTATGGCCACAAGGGAGGTTAACAGCTATGATATTAAGATCCCATTGGTAAAAGTCAAATCGTTTCTTCACTAATAGGTGATCCATTCAAGCCGCCATCTTCATCTCTACCACCAGCGTTTAGCCAGCTCAACCATCTTCAATGTAGTTTTCTTGCCTACTTTAATGTCCAATTAAAGTAGATGAAATCCAATTAGAGTCACAAATTAGAGTTACTAAGGCTGACTGTAATCGGATCCACAGTTTATGAAGTGAATGCATCGTGTCACATCAGTAAGACTTGAAACTAGCAATGGGACATAAATTCTTCATAAACTGTTGAATTAGGTTATATATCACTTTACAGAAAGAACTTTTTTCCATGTAAATTTTACACAGATGTCATTTTGAATCTCTGCTGGCCTTAAGATATGAGGAAAGTTAAAGTTACTCCAGCTGTGGCGTCAACTTTCAGACGTCAGGCGTCAATTACCTTTTATCTTTTTTTTTAAGACACTGTTTGAGAGAAATATTCATCATGTGTTTATTTCGATAGCAGAAACATTTTTTTTTTTTTTGTAATTACTGGTTGATTCTAAACAACAGGGCAGCTTCCGTATACTCTGTATAATGTGTTTAAATATGATTGAGCTTCTTTTAGTAGTAGAAAGGGATGTCATTCATGCAGAAGTCAGGTTGCAGGCTCTCAAAGGTGCAGTCAGATGTGTCCATGGCACAGCGACCGCAGTGGCAACTCAAAGCCACAGGGTAGGTGACGATCGGGTCTACACCAGGTGGGCAGGCGGGAAGCTCAAATGTTTTATAGTACAGGTCCCGGTATGTGCACACATGCTGGTACACATTGCTGAATGGTATCTTGATGACAGGGTCCTAAAGGGAGGGGAAATGAAAACAGTGTCCTTACAAAAATTTTGTTATAACACTACAGAAGCAACTGTTTTTAAACAAGAAATTCACCTAAAATGTTAAATGAAGTTTCAAAGTCCTGGTTTTAGGCATAAAGTCTTACTGTTAAACTGTTGTGCATCACAGTGAGGGAAAGTTGATGCTTTCAATGAACCATGTGCCAACACAGTGCAGGGGAGCTACCTAAACGCTACTCCCACAGAGGTTGATTATCTTGTTAATAGTGTTACATCTTCAGTGCGTTCAAGTCTGCATACTGTGCTCCTCAAATTTAGAGCTAATGGACTCCCTGGTATAACTCACAAATGTACACCATAAAGTCATCAAATATACTTTTGGTTCTGAGGGATTTTTAAAAGTAGAAAGGGAGGCAGAGCCTTCAGCTTTCGGGGCCCTCTTCTGTGCAACCAGAGTCAGACACACTCTACTGTTAAGGCTTAAACCTTTTGGGGTTTTTTTTCATAAAGCATATAGTTGGGCTGGATCAGGTGACTGAATCCTCCCTTAGTTACACTACAATAGGTCTAGCCTGCCGGAGGCTTCCCATGATGTGGTTTTATTGGATTTATTTTCTTATGCTCCACTCTGCTTTTAATCATTATTTATTATTAATCTTTGGCTCTTTTCCACAGTGTGTCTTTTTTCCCGTCTTCCTCCCCTCACCCCAAACCAGTCACAGCAGATCGCTGTCTCTCCCTGAGCCTGGAACTCCTGGAGTGTTATTCCTGTTAAAAGGGAGTTCTTCCTCCCCACTGTCACTAAGTGCTTGCTCTAAGGAAGGGGGGGGGGTCATCTAATTGGTGGGATTTTGTCTGTATTATTATTGGGTTTTTGCCTTATGATATAAAGCACCTTGGGGTGACTGTTGTTGTGATTTGTTGCTATATAAATTAAATAGAATTGAAATTGAACAGATTCCTTTACTTTTGCTGAGAAACCAGAAAGTTTTTAGTATCTGTGACACAGATACAGGTGAAATACACTGACTTTCTTCCCAGTTTAGTCACTTACATGTTTATAATTAAGGTCTGGAGTCACATGACAAATATACTAGACACACAGCTTGACTTTACTGCAAACAGCAGCTGGCAGCATGTTTGTGACTTTATGAGTCATGAGTTTTTCTTTTTGAAATGACGTCATTTTGCTGAGCGCGGAAATCTAAATGCGGCGATGGTTTCCACTATCAGCAAAGAATGGATGAATGAATGAATGAAAGACTGGAAATAAAAACAAACTGACTGACTGGTAAAAGCTGACAAGACTTGACCACGACTCAAGGTTAACCTCCACCTAGATAGGCCAAAAGGGTGGATGAATTTATGTGTGTTTCTTTTTACAGGAGCAGAAGGATGACAGCAACATCTGAGGTTGCATGACGATTTAACTTTTAAATGCCACTTTCTGTGTTTGTGAATCTAACAGGTGTGTTGTTCAGGGGTTTGTGTTGCTCACAGAGATTACTGTGAGAAAGGGTGTATACACCTGTGCAGCGTTAACATTTGCATTTTCTTCTCTACAGCATTACAGTTCTTAATGTGCTTTGAATATGTGATTTATAACTGGACAAATAGTTAATGTTTTCTAATAATGTTTTCCTACTACAGGATTTCTGGGCTTATGTGTGAAGAAACTGTGTTTATAGGTTATGAGTTGGTGATGCTATTAAACTGTGTTCTTGGGAAAATGTTGAATACTACAGGGGAGTGAATATGGGGGGAGACACATCCGGTCTTGAAAACAGTGTGATTCTTTTTACAGGAAATCTTTTTATAGCACCTCTGGAATGTGGAGGGCTGACGCCTAACCCAAGATGGTCAATGTGTTGCTAATGTTTGTTTTGCTTTTGTTAAGAGTGCATGTGGAGGATTCGGTACAAAACAGACAAGGGACATGAGAAAACAAATAAGAGATGCAGTTTTTATGGAACAGTTTAATAGGGGGCTCATAGTGATAAAACAAGTGGAGTGACATTGCTTAAGGAAGTCACTGATTAAATTGTGGATAAAATAAATTGTGGCACTAATAGTGATTTAATGATTTGAGAAATCCTGAACATGATACTTGTCTGTTATGCTGAATACTTTATCGCTTTCATGATTTATAGTTGGTTGTAAATAAGATGTTTGATTTAACAGATTTGTTTTCCAGGATACAGGTTCCAGGTGGAGCTGGGAGTTAATTCAATTCAATTCAATTTTATTTATATAGCGCCAAATCACAACAAAAGTCGCCTCAAGGCGCTTCATAGATACAGAGAAAAACCCAACAATCATATGACCCCCTATGAGCAAGCACTTTGGCGACAGTGGGAAGGAAAAACTCCCTTTTAACAGGAAGAAACCTCCGGCAGAACCAGGCTCAGGGAGGGGCGGCCATCTGCTGCGACCGGTTGGGGTGAGAGAAGCAGATGAAGTTAAATGAGCTTAACATGTAACTGCTGACTAATGTTTTTACACAGGGTTACAGGTTGGCGGGAGATTGTTTTAGAGAGAATGTGTAACATTCTTGTACAGGTCTCAGTAGGGAGTTGACACATGGCGGAAGCCAGGTGCAAGAGGAGGGTCATTTTAATTTGTAGGTGTCGTGAGGTACCATGACGAGAAGTGAGTGAGGAAGGGCGCCTACAGGATGGAAGCGGAGGCCAGGATAGAGGCTTGAGGAGGATCAGTGATCATCTTGAGGAATGGCAGAAATAGTACAGGCAGCTGTGCTACTGAGCTTGCAGGAGATTGAGAGGAGTCTTCCCACAGCAACGTTTTAAATAAAATGAGAGATTCATCGTGGACATTGAGGAAGACAACTAAGGTGTACGACGTGCTCTGCCTTAAATCTTCAGCAGCGTTGGAACATGAGAACCTGAGGGATGAAGGGAGCGTGCCAAGCTCCAAAAGTGACGGCTCGTACCACAACAGCAGTCCAGTTGAAGGGGACAGGCGGGACCTAGTTCCATTGGTCTCAATGTGCAGTAGCAGATGAGAGTTTGGTGGAGACAAGCTCATCTCCAAATAACACGGGTGGCAAAACAGAGGCAGAATAAACCCTCCCGTGCAACGACTAACCAGTAGTCTACCTGGGAAGTTGAAGAAAGAAGAGAAGGATCGCAGAGCATCATTTCACTCAAAGAGGAGGTGGCTGCGTGGCCCGAGGAGTGAGACAATAAGAGGAGTGTTGGCCTTTTCGAGGCCAAAGAGGAGGAGTATAGAGATGAAATATTATTTTACATTCATAATCTATGTTACTATTCATAATCCTTATTATTACTGTTGCATCATTTATGATTTATCATTATTGTCATTTCATTGACACATTTATTGAAACTGATGATGTTATATTAAAGTCTGTATTTCAGGTGTTAGCATAAGCACATAATAATCTTTCATTGCAGGTGCAACTGTAATCATGTTATACACATATTGCATAATTAAAGGGTTGAAGCTTGGTCAAGTTAATTAATGGTTTGAAGCTACGGGCAGCGCGATGTCTGGCCGATCAATGGAGCAAAGTTCAGCTATTGAAAGGTTGCCTACATGTTTACAGTATAATTTACTACATATTGCCTGTGTGCATTCAGCAGCCTGCTGCATTGGAGTTTGCCTGGTAACAGATGACTCAAACGGAGTCAGGAAGTATACTTCTAAAATGTCTTTGTTTGTTGAGTGAGGTCATGTACTGAGGTTAAAATACAGACATAAGTCTGCCTGCACACAGACTTGTGTTGCTTGTAAACGGTATGCTCATGCTCTGTTCTGAAGTGCAGAGAGTAGAATAACAGGAAGCATCTGGAGGAACAGAGGAAGTAGCGGTTCCTTTTTTAGAATATGTCCTCACTGGAGTTACTGGTCATCATAAGTATAAATGTCACACCCACCTATTGTCAGGCGGGAGATTGAGCCTGATGTTTTGCAGAGCCCATCTTCACCACATATGGATTTTAATAAAATCATTTGTGTTGACCCACTATGGACTTTCTGTCCTATGTCTCTTCCTCAAAAATTCGAACCGCGACAGTGGCAAATGTCAAACTCCTACAGTCTCCTCAGTTCTCCTCAAATGTTCTTGTCACATGCACAGTGAAGTTGCAGCTTGTTGGAAACACAGTGCCATTCATCCAATCAGGCAGGGTGATGGGTTTGCTCTTCTTCTCTGATGCTGTTCGTCCACACTGCTGCTGCTTGCTGGGACTCTTTGCTCAGGACTTTGCTGCTGTCTCTTTATCTGCCATGTTATTGCTCTTTGGAGCTGCATTCCTTGTCTTCAGGGAGGAGTGAGAGCTCGCTTGTGAGTTTGAGAAACACATGGCACCGTAAATAAGTCAGCCAGAAACTTGGCCTGCATGTTTCCTTTCTTAAAAGCAGAAAATGAAATTGTAGTTGTTCTTGGCTGATCAACACAAAACCTTTTTCCTATGATTATTTTTCATCTACAATGTAAATTTTGTCTCTTTTTCACTCTTTTTTTTCTTTACAATAGCTGGTGACCTGCAGAATCACCGCTCTCACAATTGGAGGCAATTACTTTTACACAGCGCACAAAAACACTGTGACGTCAGACACATTCACACTCACTTTTTTCATGTGCATAAATAAATCACATGGCTGGTGATATGTGCCATGGTGATCCATGAGTATGATCACAAGTTTATTTATTTTTCAACCCAACAAAACAAATAACAAAAACATGATGCTGATGCTATGAACACTCTACACACATGAGTCAAGATGCAGAAAAACTGCTCACGGAAACGCTGCACACTCCAGTTATCACAGTTATCACAGTTCTGTTTCCATCTCTTTGAGGAGTTCTCAGCCAGCTCTCGATCTGATAATGTGTAGCTTGCTCATCAGCTCAGAAGAGACCGCAACGCAACCTCACACAGTGGTTGCGTGCTTTGCCCACAGTGGCATAGACTTGCACTTTCATATTCAATTCAGCTTCTCCATCATCCATTACAACGCAGTTTTCACACAGTGACTGCGTGCTTTGCCGCACACAGTGGCAAAGACTTACAACGCAATGATCATGCACTTTATCGCACACAGTGATAAAGAATTTCAACGCAAACTCACACAGTGGTTGCGTGCTTTGCTGCACACAGTGGCAAAGACTTAAACTTACTTGGTGTTGCTTAGCATGTAATATCAGCCTCGAATCCCGCCGATCGTCATTCATCGAGGAGAGAAAACAGACAGCTAATCCACCTGCCCGATGACAAATTCTCACGTCTCGGGACTTTACTACAGGAACTTCCTGGCTGACCTCAGTCTTTCAGCGTGTCTCTTCTCCCCTCGGTGAATGTCGACTCCAGGGCTCCGGCTCTCGAAGGACCAATTAATGATAGGTTTGTAGCTTGAACCTATTCGCTGGAACGTTGAAGACAATATAATTACACAGCAAAAGCATTGAACACCAAGTAGGCAAAGTTCTTCGTGTTACTCATGCATGAGGGAGACGTGTCGTTCAAGTCGGGGGTCAAGTGTCGTTCCACCACTTGACCCCTGTCAGACTCTCAGCCATGCCCGCCCACCTGCCTGCCCGGCTGGGTGACGAGAATCTCCCATCAGCCCTTTACAGCTGCGGGGCCAAAAAAAGAAGCAGAGAACTGTGTATTTTGTACATTTTTTGATTTGTCTTTATGTTCAGCAGAGCTTCTACCACCCAGGCCAACCTGACCTGCCCCAATGCACCGCACGCATTTTAGTTGAATTATTCTAATTCCTGAAGCCAACAATAAAATACAACAGAAAGCACAAATATTCAGATAGACCATGGCTCACTAAGGGTTTACAAAATGCATGTAAAAAGAAAAATACACTCTATAGGGAATACCTAAAACAAAGAACAAAAGAAGCTGAAAATAAATATAAAAAATACAAAAATAAGTTGACCAATATTATACGTGTATGTAGAAAGGAGTATTATAGTAAAATATTGAACAACAATAAACATAATATGAAAGGAATATGGGATGTTTTAAACGGTATCATTAAAAATAATTCTGGACAACAAAGTTATCCACAATACTTTATCGATAATGGCAATATTATGGAAAACACTGCTGATAAGGTCAACAGCTTTAATCATTATTTTGTAAATATTGGACCAAAACTGGCAGAACAAATTCCTGAGTCACTGCCATCAGTAGAATGTAGTGAAAACCTGATTGATAGGAACCCTAACTCAATGTTCCTCACATCAGTGGAGGAAAAAGAAATAATTGACATTGTACACATGTGTAAATATAAAACATCCACTGATTGTAATGATATTGACATGAAAATCGTCAAGAAGGTCATAGAAAGAATTGTAGGACCTCTAACATATATTTGCAACTTATCATTTCAGACGGGAAAAGTGCCAAACAAAATGAAAATAGCTAAAGTTGTGCCGCTGTATAAAACCGGGGATAGACGCCACTTCACAAATTACAGGCCTGTTTCTTTACTACCACAATTCTCCAAAATCCTAGAAAACCTGTTTAATAAACGATTAGACAAATTCTTAGATAAATATAAATTACTCTCTGACAGTCAATATGGATTCAGATCAAAAAGATCAACATCTCTGGCATTAATCGAATCAATTGAGGAGATTACGAATGCTATAGATCAGAAACAGTATGCAGCTGGAGTATTTCTGGATCTCAAGAAAGCATTCGACACAATCAATCATGACATATTAATTAATAAACTGGAACGGTACAGGATAAGGGGGGTTGTACTGCACTGGGTGAAAAATTATTTAAGTGACCGGAAACAATTTGTGAAGCTGGGTGTCCATTCCTCATCATGCTTGGACATTGCTTGTGGTGTTCCACAAGGCTCTGTACTGGGTCCAAAATTATTTATTATTTATATAAATGATATTTGTAAGGCATCTGATATATTAAAATTAGTATTATTTGCAGATGACACAAATATTTTTTGTTCTGGGGGGAATCTAAAGGAGCTGCTGGATACAATTACTTCAGAAATTTGCAAAATTAAAAAATGGTTTAACAGGAACAAACTAGCGCTAAATCTAAGTAAAACTAAAATTATCTTATTTGGGAATTCCCTTAGAAATGCACAAGTGCAGATTCATGTAGATGGTGTGGAAATTGAAAGAGTACTTGAACATAAGTTTCTTGGTGTGATTATAGATGATAAATTAAACTGGAAGTCTCATATAAATCATATACATAACAAAATTTCAAGAAGTGTCTCAATCTTGAGTAAAGTAAAACACATTCTGGACCACAAATCACTCCACATTCTCTATTGTTCCCTGATTGCACCGTATTTGAATTACTGTGCAGAGGTTTGGGGCAATACTTACAAATGTTCGCTATCATCAATCTTTATATTACAAAAAAGGGCCATAAGGATAATCCATAAAACTGGTTACAGAGATCATACAAATCCACTATTCTTAAAATCAAAAATTCTAAAATTCACAGATCTGGTTCATTTTCTCACAGCACAAATTATATATAAAGCAATAAATAACCTGCTTCCTGACAATATTCTAAAAATGTTTTCTAAAAGGGAACGGGGATACAATTTGAGGGGGGAATTAAATTTAAAACATCCTCGTATCCGTACAACATTAAAAAGTTTTTGCGTCTCTGTGTGTGGAGTGAAGCTGTGGAACAGACTAAGTAAAGATATGAAGCAATGTCCGAGCATGGCGCAGTTTAAAAAGCGGTTTAAGGATATGGTTTTTACAGGGTACAGGGAAAAGGTAGAGATTTGATAGGGTGTTCTTGTCTAATATTTTCATGTGTGTGCGCATGCACGGGTTTGTTGGTATGGGTATATATGTATGTGTATATGTATGTATGTATATATATATATGTAATTGTAGGTTGTGTATCCTTCAGGTGTTAATGGGGTTATTGAAAATGTGTATATGTGCGTATGTGTGTATATACGTAGGTATGGATAGATAGAAACATATATGTGTATATATTAAAAAAAAAAAAAAAAAAATTACACATAACATATAATGTAATTACAAGGAGGTATTTCTGTAGTCTATTGATACTAGATAGTGGAAAAGGGGTGGGATTAAATAAGCTTATGCTTCTTCCTGCTCCTTTTTGAACATGGACGTTATTTGGAGTTGTGGTTGCTCGTTTTCCTTTTGTTTGCTTTGTTCATTTGTCTCTTTTAATTCTTTTTTTTTTTTTTATACTTTTTCAACATGTTCAAAATAAAGATTCAATCAATCAATCAATCAAGCCACATCAGTCCAGCTGATCCCAGAGAAACACTAAAACGTCCAGTAGATAGTCCGTACCGGTGCGAGGTCTTATAAAAACTGAAACTAAATGTTTGTCAAACAGTCTAAGAGCCAGAGAGTGAACTAATACACAAAACAACCAACCCTCAAACATGAGAGTGCTTCTGCTACATAACTGTGTTTGTGTTATTTTTGTACCTTGACCCAGTCCTCCGTGTCGCCATCATCGATGACCTCCAAGATTTCCTGCTCCTCGATGGTCAGCTCGTCTGGCTGAGAAGCCTGCAGACAGACAAACACGTTAATTCAAATTAAAGCTGCGATGTAACAGTTTAACCATCTTCATTTCACCCGTGATGTATATTTTTCAAATACCGCCACACTGGTGAACGGACAAAAATGCTCACTGTGGCTTCAACAACATCAGCCAGAACACTGAAGAAAACACTGAGACCATGCCTGCATTTATACCACACTTTACTCAGGACTCGGGTAATATAAAACAACTAATACTCCAAAGCAGCCCAAAACTCAGACTTACACTAGAATTTCTGTACAAATTCAGAGAGCAGGTGTTTTAAACCTGGACACAGAATCATTAGTGCCACAAAGTTTGGGAAAGTAAATCTAAATGGTGGTTAAACACAACTGGAACTGATTAAAAACAGCCAAAACAAAAAGTGTCTTTACTTCAAAGTCAGAATTATAATTGGTGACATGTTAAAACAGAATCTAACATAAACATTCTTGTTTGGAAATAGCTCTAAGATGTTAGGAGAATGTGGCAAATGAGATCACAGGATGGCAAAAATGTACTGTAAAATGATATGTTCTTGTTTCACTTGAACAATACCACCTATGTTTGCACTTATGTAAGAACAAGTATCACTGCTATGGAGTTTTCATGTTTTGCATGCAGACTCAGGGCTGCTAGTCTCCTCTTGGCATTTTCTTATTTAAACATTGGTGACTTAGAACCTCAAAGTTTAGCAGCACAACACTCTTTTTCCTTTTTCCATCAAACATTTCTTTCAGCCATCTGTTTTTATCAGTTTATATGTGGCTGTAATTAATCTACGGCAGACCCGACCATGTTTCCATGCTTTTCAGCATGCACTTTATTCACGCTTGTCGTTCACACACTGGCTGCAGCTTTCCAGCTTGCAGCCACAAACTCCAACATGAACAAACAGATACATGATTATACATAGAATAAAGAAAGGTTCTATAAAAATTACACATGGTGTAGAAAAACATTATAACATACAAATGAATGTTTTATGAAAATCTGACATGTTTATTCAAAGCATAAGAATAAAAGTTTTATACAGGGAGTGCAGAATTATTAGGCAAGTTGTATTTTTGAGGAATAATTTTATTATTGAACAACAACCATGTTCTCAATGAACCCAAAAAACTCATTAATATCAAAGCTGAATGTTTTTGGAAGTAGTTTTTAGTTTGTTTTTAGTTTTAGCTATTTTAGGGGGATATCTGTGTGTGCAGGTGACTATTACTGTGCATAATTATTAGGCAACTTAACAAAAAACAAATATATACCCATTTCAATTATTTATTTTTACCAGTGACACCAATATAACATCTCCACATTCACAAATATACATTTCTGACATTCAGAAACAAAACAAAAACAAATCAGCGACCAATATAGCCACCTTTCTTTGCAAGGACACTCAAAAGCCTGCCATCCATGGATTCTGTCAGTGTTTTGATCTGTTCACCATCAACATTGCGTGCAGCAGCAACCACAGCCTCCCAGACACTGTTCAGAGAGGTGTACTGTTTTCCCTCCTTGTAAATCTCACATTTGATGATGGACCACAGGTTCTCAATGGGGTTCAGATCAGGTGAACAAGGAGGCCATGTCATTAGTTTTTCTTCTTTTATACCCTTTCAAATTCAAATTTTATTTGTCACGTACACAGTCATACACAGTACGATATGTAGTGAAATGCTTGGACAACTGCTCGTGACCTAAAGAAAACAAAAAAGGAAAAGGCTATGAATAAGACAGGAAATAAATATGAAAAATTAAAAAGGGTAAATTTAACTAGGAAGGAATAAAATATAAATTAAGGTTAAAAATGAAATAACTGTACAACACAAATTAGAATGAAGGGTAAATTTAACTGGGAAAGAATAAGATAAAAAAAAATAAAATAAAATAAATAAATAAATATATATATATATATATATATATATATATATATATATATATAAATAAATATATATATATATATATATATATATATATATATATAAATAAATATATATATATATATATATATATATATATATATATATATATATATATATATATATATATATATATATATATATCTTGCCAGCCACGCTGTGGAGTACTTGGACGCGTGTGATGGAGCATTGTCCTGCATGAAAATCATGTTTTTCTTGAAGGATGCAGACTTCTTCCTGTACCACTGCTTGAAGAAGGTGTCTTCCAGAAACTGGCAGTAGGACTGGGAGTTGAGCTTGACTCCATCCTCAACCCGAAAAAGCCCCACAAGCTCATCTTTGATGATACCAGCCCAAACCAGTACTCCACCTCCACCTTGCTGGCGTCTGAGTCGGACTGGAGCTCTCTGCCCTTTACCAATCCAGCCACGGGCCCATCCATCTGGCCCATCAAGACTCACTCTCATTTCATCAGTCCATAAAACCTTAGAAAAACCAGTCTTGAGATATTTCTTGGCCCAGTCTTGACATTTCAGCTTGTGTGTCTTGTTCAGTGGTGGTCGTCTTTCAGCCTTTCTTACCTTGGCCATGTCTCTGAGTATTGCACACCTTGTGCTTTTGGGCACTCCAGTGATGTTGCAGCTCTGAAATATGGCCAAACTGGTGGCAAGTGGCATCTTGGCAGCTGCACGCTTGACTTTTCTCAGTTCATGGGCAGTTATTTTGCGCCTTGGTTTTTCCACACGCTTCTTGCGACCCTGTTGACTATTTTGAATGAAACGCTTGATTGTTCGATGATCACGCTTCAGAAGCTTTGCAATTTTGAGACTGCTGCATCCCTCTGCAAGATATCTCACTATTTTTGACTTTTCTGAGCCTGTCAAGTCCTTCTTTTGACCCATTTTGCCAAAGGAAAGGACGTTGCCTAATAATTATGCACACCTGATATAGGGTGTTGATGTCATTAGACCACACCCCTTCTCATTACAGAGATGCACATCACCTAATATGCTTAATTGGTAGTAGGCTTTCGAGCCTATACAGCTTGGAGTAAGACAACATGCATGAAGAGGATGATGTGGACAAAATACTCATTTGCCTAATAATTCTGCACTCCCTGTAAAAATCATGTTCTTTGATGATCATGTCAATAAAATCATGTTTCACATTTTAAAACATACGGTACTTAGAAAAGTGTTCACAAAAACGGTTTTAGAGAACTCACACACATTTTTACTTTTTCCACAGTGCCTGTATGCCTCTTCCAAAACTTTGGGCTTTTCACCCTCACACACAATAATAATATTAAAATAATATTTGTACATAAAAATAAAAATGTTCAAATCTAAATTCTGATTCTAATGAATGAGAATACTTTATCAAATCCTAAGGAAATTATAAGGTTACAGTTGCTCCAAGACAATGAGAACAGTAACAGACTGCATATGTTGTTTTTTAATTTAGTACAAAGTTTACAAAATATAAGAAATAGATGTAATATGTACAAATAGCTCAATTATAAATATCCAGTTTTATGATTATAAGTTTCTGCTGCGCTATATACATATGGACAGTATTTTTTTTTTAAATATCCATGGAGGAGAGAAAAAGAGAACTTATCTCAGACTGAGCTTCTAGTAGGAGATCAGTATGAGAACAGAAAACAAAAAAACCATGTGGTGGGTATGGGTAAGAGTTTCCCGGTGTAGACAGCAGCATCCAGTCCTGCAGCATCTCTGCGCTGGAGGCAAGTATCTGAGGTGTTTGGAGGGAGGAGGGGGATGAGGGTATGTCTGTGTCTGTATACGTGTGTGTGTGCGCATGTGTATCCTGTGTTCAGCTGAGAGAGTGTCCCTTCACCCGGTTGGGCAGAAGTAAACAGTCCTACAGCCAACCTTTTAGGCTCTCTGCGCCTTGAAGGGTGTAGCGCAGAGAGCCATAACACAGTCTCGTTATAAGGGAGAAGAATTTGTTGTTTTCAGCCACCCTCGGCCTTGAGGTCCTTCTAGCAGTAACTTGGGTAGTTAGATGAGAGAAATGGTGGTTGTTTGGGTTTAGTGCGATCGAGCTGCATCCAATTTTAGAGCAGATCTAAATGTCCGTCAATGATCTGTGTTCAATAAGAACAGTCTGGGTACTCAGAGCCCATCTTTAGGTTTTATAGAACATGACTGAGAGACTCTCTGAGGGTTAAAGTTAGACAAAACTAGACAAGGACATAAGAAACCAAGCAGGAAAGATAAGATGAGGCAACCGCCTCCGTTAGAGCCAAAGAGAAGAAGTCAGTGAACGTGTGAGTTCTGGGTGGTTATAGCTTTTTGGGAAGAAACTATTTTTGAGTCTGTCAGTCTTTGTGCCGATGCACCTGTAGCACTTTCTTGAGGGAAGCAGGTTGAACAGGTCAAAACCAGGGTGGGAGCTGTCCTTGATGTTTGTTGCTCTGTTGAGGCAGCAGAAGGAATAGATGTCCATCAGGGAGGGGAAAGGGCCACAGGTCATCATATGTGTTGCCTTGACTACTCCTCTATCCACCTTAGTGCAACTGTCATAACATGCTGTGATGCAGTATGTCAGCTGGCTCTCAATAGACGAGCAGTAGAAGGTCAGCAACAGGTTGGAGTCCAGTTTGTGCTTCCTGAGGACCCCTACAATCAATTCTTTGGTCTTTGTCACATTGAGCTGCAAAGGATTCTGCTTGCACCATGTGACAAAGGACTTACTCACAGCCTCACTCTCATCACCCATGTATCCAACCACCACAGAGTCATCAGAAAACTTCTGAAGATGGCAGGTCTCTGTGCAGTGGATGAAGTCTGTGGTGTAGAGGGTAGAGAGCTGGTCCAGATGGGCGTAGACATGATTGAGCAGGTACATGATGGCGTCCTCAGCTCCGAGGCGGGGCTGGTGGGGGAACTGAAGGGGATCCTGTTGTGGCATGACAATAGGCTGGAGCTGGATGAATTTTTCCAGTGTCTTCATGACGTGTAAGTCACAGGCCTGTAATTCTGGGGCCACTGGGACATGGCATACCAGTCGGGGGACGAAGGAGGAACTGTATGCATCCT